TTTTTTTTTTTGCTGGTACAATTTATCGACACTTCTGAAATCTGAAACAGTTATATCAAAACACTATTTTGTTCTTAATTCAACTAATATTGTGAACAAATACATGACGCAAAAAACTGCCTCAATAATTTGATACAGTGAAATCAACTGCATCAGCTTCAAGTCATCAGTCGGATCTTTCACTGTTGTAAAATTCAAATAAATTTAAACTACTCTTTTCTTCCTCTTTGTCGGTGTTATATTTCCATTAAATTCAAAATTCACAAAATCTGAGTATTTAGAACCACATTCGTTACCACTGCTGTTTTTCACCAATATTTATTTGCAAAATATACTTATTAACAACAATCGAATTAAGTAAGAAAAAAAAGCAAGAGTGATGAACCATTAAACGTTAATAAAAGGAGTGATTAAGTATGATGAATACAGAGGAAGGTATAATATTTGGGCACTTTACTACAACTACTACGTAAAGCAGTGACAGATAGCGGTTTTACCACAACGACTTCGTTTTCAACGAGATCATCAGCCACAGAAACTTGTTCAGGCGTTGTCTGTTGTCGTCACTTTCACAGAAAGCTTAACTGATTACCAACGAGATTTTGTTTTGCACTGCTATAGTGTTTTGTCAGTTGATCTGATTCTGTCTAATTTTTCATAATTTTATTATATCCGTTAAGACAAATCACTGTTGCCTGTTGATTGCAGAAACAAACACAAGCAGTTGGTTGCAACAGTTTTCTTTTTTCAGCAATTTTTTTCTGCACTTAAAAGCAAATAAAGTTTTTAAAAAAAAGAGCTTGAAAATAAGGTAAAAGAAAAAATACATTTAATTACTAGAATTTATGAAACACAGTAGCAAGAAAATAAAAAATAACAGCAAAAAACTATAAAATTTTTAAAAACTCTGACAGGTGTTTGATGTAGCGACCTCAACCAACACTGTGTTTTAAGTGCAGAAACATTTTAAACCTATTGGCACGCAAAAGCAAAAAAAAAAAAAAAAAACTATGAAACTGCTGAAGTATAGAAGTGCAAAACTAACGGCAAACTTTTTTTTTTTAAATTGATTTTTCTTCTTTAACTACCAAATTATTTCTGCATTTACAATTA